TTTTTGCACTTTTCCCGCATTGGGACGAACTGGAAGGACACTGAAGTCAACAACAAGTGTGTTTTTACGAACTACACTCATTTTCGCTACAATATTTCACCAAGTTAAGCAGAGCAGAAAGAGAACACGTCCGATGAATACGAGTAATGGCTGTCGAATGGAAACAAAATACAATTCGGCAGCAGGGATTTGTTCCTAAATTATCTGGCAACCCTTGCTAGAAGCTAGCATTTCAAATGACTTTTATTTTTTATTCGATTTACGTGCAAAATAATAATTGATTGCATCGCAATATTTTGCACATTTCTTGGTGCCATTCATTAACCAACGAAGATCAATTAATCAATAGAGTTAGAATATTGTTTTTGGTTTCAAAAACTAGTTGCATTTGAGAAGCATACAAAACATAAAGGTGATTGAATTTCTGTTCGATTGCAATACTCTCAAATTTATACTAGTAAGAACTCGAGTAAGAATAAGAAATCCTCGGAAAAATTATAACTGGATGTTCGATTGGCTCAGATTTTGACAGTTCATTTGGCTCAAAACATTCTCTCCGCCCATCTCTCTCTCTGAGTATTTCTAGTACTTAAGGGAGTTAGATTTAGATAAGTTCTTTAGTGGGAATGACACTGATGAAGACTGCACATTGTAGTCGAAATACGTATCTGTCATGGATATTAAAATTAATTAAGTGGAATTAAATGGAAGATAACCTTTTTGTGCTGTTTTATTTAAGCATTGCGCTAACAACTCAATTTCATTACTTCATTATGATGGCTACCAAGCCTTTGGGATTTTCCTTATTAGAGAGTTCAATAGATTTTTCTCCTTTAGTTTACTTAAATCTTTGGTTTTTATTAGTTAGGTAGGTCCCGATTCAACACATTGTAGTTTCATTTTTATACCTGTGATTGAACTCAAATCCATCCGTGCACTCGTCTATTTAACTACTTCATTCGAGCAGTTAAAATGACGTTTACTACCACCCGAACTTTGAAATAAAACATTATTTTGAGATTTTTTCTTTTAGAACCTCGAGAAAAGAAGCCAACATTTTTGCGTTTCATAGAAAAAAAATAGAAATTAGTTGGTCCAGTTTTGTGAAATCACTGGTAGAAAGTCACGCCAAAACTGCTTGACAAAGTGTTCAATTGATCTGTTCGGTTTTTCTATTGAGCGCATCGGCACGTGCGTTCTTGCGAGAGCAAGACAAATGGACGCATGGAGCGTTCGGTGAGCATGTTGGACTCGGACAGATTGGGAATAGAACGAATCAGCAATGGGTTGAGTCTCCGCGTCTCCTGATCACGGAGAGAGCTTCAGTTTTTAGACGGATGTAAAAATGAATTGTTGTATCTCGCGAGTGCAGAAGTGAAAATTTTGAGAAATCCGACAGTAGTCAATTCTCAAAAAAGTTAATGGGGCCCTAAAAGATTCTTTCAATGTTCTTCAGAAGTTTCTATAAATGGAGGCGAACCAGCCTAAGGCTGAAAGCCTCCTAAATAAAGCTAAATAATAATAATAATAAGTTTCTATAAACAATCTCCTGAAGTATCTTCCAAAATCCACTGGACGCATACAGCAGTGTCAATTGTTTCATATTTTAGGCCATTTGACTTCCCCCGAAAGACTCTTCCGACTTATCCATAAACTTTCTTTCGACTGCCCCAGAAAATCTTGTAAATTCCTTTGGAATCCTGGAATTTTGAATTATTCTTCTAGTTTACACGATATCTATCCATTGCAAGCAATATTTTGATAATTGTTTATATTAGGAGAGTTGGTGCCCAGGTAGATTGAGGTTAAGGAAACGCCACTGGAAAAAGTGTTCCGTTTCCAATGTCTCACGACAGAAATTTCTGCTCACAACACTCTTTTTGAAGTTCTCTTATTCACCATCAGAGGCTGAATCGATCACTTAGTTTCTATTAAAAAGGCGTATTGTTGTTTGTTTATGTTTTTTTATTGTGTTCTGCAAAAATTATGTACATGAGAACTAGAAATACTCAGAGTATTTTTAATGAGTACCAATTATTTGTGATTTTAACTAAATTCAAACTAGAAATACTCAGAGATGGGCTGAGAGAAAGTAAGGCAAATGAACTGTCAAAATCTTTAGATTTTTTTTGAGGATTTCTCATTTTTAATAGAAATACTAGAAGGAGAGATGGGCGGAGAGAATGTTTTGAGCCAAATGAACTGTCAAAATCTGAGCCAAACGTACATTCCCATTAGATTTTTTCCGAGGATTTCTTATTCTTACTAGATTAAATTTGAGAGTATTGCAATCGAACAGAAATTCAATCACCTTTATGTTTCGTGTGCTTCTCAAATTCAACTAAGTAGTTTTTGGAATCAAAAGCAATATTCTAGCTCTATTGATTAATTGATCTTAGTTGGTTAATTAATGGCACCAAAAAATGAGCAAGATATTACGATGCAATCAATTATTAATTTACACGTAAATCGAATCAAAAGTAAAAGTCATGTGAAATGCTAAGTTTTAGCAAGGGTTGCAAGATAATTTAGATACAAATTCCTGCTGCCGAATTGTATTTTGTTTTCTTCGCCCATCTCTCCCTCTGAGTATTTCTAATTTTTACTAGATCAAATTTGAGAGTATTATAGGGTATTATCAACAATCAATACGAAACTAACGATTTTAAATTGGCTCACCACTTTAGTAGCCTATTGGTCCCAAGCAAACGATTAACGTACCCTATTCTAGTTGAAATTCTATTACTACACTATGTTTGTTTTGATTCGCTATGAAAGTTTGACAGATAACATCAGGGGTGTGTGGATTCATGCAGAACATGCAGGGGTGAGTGAAATAGCTTGGGACTGCTTGGGACCGTTGTTCTGGTACTGAGTGAGCCAAAAATAATAATGATTTTCTTCGGGACCCAGTGGTCTTAGAGTTACCTCTATGGTATTATTGCATGTTTCGTGTGCTTCTCACATTTAACTAGTTTTTGGAATCAAAAACCATATTCTAACCACAGACAAACAGCCATCGAATATTTCTCACTTTAAAAAATTGTTGCTAAAACACAACCGCCATCTGTTGAGTACACTGTGGTGGGTAGTACCAACAATCAATACGAAACTAACGATTTAAAATTGGCTCACCACTTTAGTAGCCTATTGGTCCCAAGCAAACGATTAACGTACCCTATTCTAGTTTAAATTCTATTACTACACTATGTTTGTTTTGGTTCGCTATGAAAGTTTGACAGATAACATCAGGGGTGTGTGGATTCATGCAGAACATGCAGGGGTGAGTGAAATAGCTTGGGACTGCTTGGGACCGTTGTTCTGGTACTGAGTGAGCCAAAAATAATAATGATTTTCTTCGGGACCCAGTGGTCTTAGAGTTACCTCTATGGTAGTACCATAGCATGAATCCACACACCCCTGATGTTATCTGTCAAACTTTCATAGCGAATCAAAACAAACATAGTGTAGTAATAGAATTTCAACTAGAATAGGGTACGTTAATCGTTTGCTTGGGACCAATAGGCTACTAAAGTGGTGAGCCAATTTAAAATCGTTAGTTTCGTATTGATTGTTGGTAGTAGTGTTGCCATATGGTACAATCCAGTAGTAGTGGTGTTGCCATGTGGTACACTGAAAAATTGCAATAGCAGGTTAGTCACCAAAGTTTTCGAGCCACTCCGTCTGTCACTTCGTTTGTGCTACTACTGGATTGAACTAGCATTTTCACCAAATGTACTGGAATGTTTTGGTTCTATCTCTTTCACTCTACTCAAAACTGAAATGCATAAAAAAATGACAAAATGATACACTCTTTGCACACTGTCAAAGAATCATTGTATACAAAATCAACTTTGTGCAAAACCAAAACAAAAATACTATCCCATCTGGTGGATGATGGCACAAGCTTCTAAGAAAATTCTATTACAGCGAACCACATTATTTTAATTGATTTCTTCGCCAGTTAGTCGTCTGTCACTTCGTTTGTGCTGGTACCATAGAGGTAACTCTAAGACAAGAAGGTACCGAAGAAACGTGCTCAACTTTTTGGCTCAGCTCTGGTACTCTCTTCGGTTCCAAGCTAATCGATTCACCCCTCGAAACATAGGAAAATCCAATAACCTCTCATTTTATCTGTCAAACTTTCATAGCGAATCAGAACAAACATAGTGTAGTAGTAGAATTTCTACTAGAATGGGATACGTTAATCGTTTGCTTGGGACCAATAGGCTAGTCAAGTAGTGAGCCAATTTAAAATCGTTAGTTTCGTATTGATTGTTGATGATACTCTATGTCCAGGGAAGTCGAGAAAATTTCCAACCCGAAAGATTCCCTCGACCGAACCGGGAATCGAACCCGCCGCCTCCGGCTTGGTAATACCGTGCCTTTACTGACTAGGCTATGAGGCCCCCATAACGATTCACTACAGCCGCTTTTTTTTTTGTTCTCGCTAGAAGTCATTTGAAGTTGATGTAGAAGTCCTCTGTTGCCAAGTGAAAAGAAAGGGAATCCTTCGAAAACCGTGATGCGAGTTCCACTGTTTTTCTCTTGGCGTGACTCATTATACACCGACTCTACAAAAGGACAGCACTACCAAATGAGCAAAAATGTTCGAAGCATATGATCATGGTGGAGCACAATTATTGGCCTTGATGGCGACTCTGTAGCTCTTTACTCCTATGGTAAAATTCAAGCAAACGTCAGATTGTGCGTGAAACATGGCGGACTTTGTACTATCCTTCCACTCCACCGAAAATTCTTATAAGAAACTGTTGATCATTGCTAGGAGAGACGATTTTTGACGGTGCAGCTAACTTAAATTATATTAAACGTTGTGTTGTACATGGTCAACATCCATCAAACCTAAGAACGGCAGGAGAATGAAAGAGACGAAAAATTCGGTGACCAAGCATGTATCAAATAGAATGAAAAACAACTCGATGGTTTTCGGATATGAGCGTAGTAAACCACTTTCTATACATTAGTATTATTTTTTTTACTATTTCATTAATCAACTGACATGTAATAGTCATATTCGTCGATTGACACAATCCATTATCTCACCTTTGACTACGCACTTAACATGAAGCTATTTTGAAGGTACTACGTCAATGTTTTAAATTAGAAAAAAAAAAAACCATACCAATAATACAAATTTCAATAACCTACCCATTTTTGGCCTTTGAGGTACAACGGGGATCTGCGTGCTCAACTCATCACCCCTTTTTTTTTCTTCGCCAAGAGAGTCAATCTTTGAAGAGAACACGGCTTAGATAAATAGAAGAACCAATAAACGAGAATGTGATCAGTTTTATGAACTGGAATGTGTAGGACTAGATTGGAGGTGCTCAAATGTGCCTATAAATGCCATGGAAAGAAACCGAGACCAACGATCAAACATACCCTAATCCACCGTAAATACACGTGTGTTTAAATTAGAATTCGAATAACATGCGATGATAATTATCACTTCTTTCCTCGAATCAGCACGGTCGTAACAAACCGAGCTATCTTCTCGTATGTCATGAACATCAGTGCCGCCGTGAGCACCGTTTGGAGCAGTTTGGCTTCCAGCCCTCGGAACAACCCGACCGCACCTTGTTTTTTCAGGATGATCAGCAACATCTGCACCATGTCGGTGTCGGGAGGCAGGTCCAGGTTTTTGTCTAAATTGCCGTGCCGCAGCTTGGTCTGGATCAGCTGCAGAGGATAGGTGAGCACCGTGGCTATTGCCTTGGCGATGGCTCCGATGGCAAAGAAGGCCGCCGAAGAAGCATGATTCGGATCGGATATCATGCGCCTTTTGAGCGATTCGTACACCATGAACTGGATGGCTGGGTTGATTACTAGGATGAGAGAAGGCACGGCTCCAGCCCAGAGGCCTTTGGCACCTTCCGTTCGTCCAATGTGGATCAGCCCATCCAGCAGGTTATCATAGTGCATAGTGTTATCCTTGACTCGATGACCCAGGCCTTTCATCTTCAGGCGGGTGTTGACAACCCAGCACGGTGTGGTTGAGAAGACATTCACAATGCCGGCCAACGATCCTAGCAGGAGATCCGCCAGCGCCGATTGACTGCCCCCGGTGATGGATCCACGGAGGGCTTTCAGGCTGTGGAATGTGTAGAAGTAGACAAAGTTGGAGATGCACAGGCTTTCAAGAACTGGCACCATGCCTCGGTAGAGCGTGCCGAAGCCCTCCTCCGCTACCAGCTGTTTGAGGATGGCCCACGTGCTCAGCGCCTTGCGACGTTCTGGTTCTTCCACTGAAATGAGAGACACACAGCGCATGTTGAATTTAATTACGTTCAAGGTCTTAATCAGAGCTCTAGAGTAAGCATCCATATCTCCTGAGCTTTTCTGATAACGAATGACATTCACCCACGCGCTATCTACATGGGAATTATTACTTGATGGTATCAGTATTGTAACGAGACTAAAACATGAACATATTAATCTATTTATTGCTTCCAACCAACTTTTCGCATATAACAGCCTATAACTACCATTTACAGCAGTCTGGCTTTACACAAAATCGAGATAAACAGCACTTAAAATAGCGTGTGACCAAAGTAAACAATCTTAAAACAACCATAGCCAAATGATGTCATTCTGATCTGTTCGTACACATGAACACAAGACTTAGTAGGTGCTATGCAAAATAGATACTCACATTGAAGTCGAGAACGCACCGTGTCCAGTGGATAGAACGCAGACATGGCAATAACGCTGCCCTGTTTAGAAAGAAAAACCGATTAAAAAACAACACAAACCCCCGTGCCGTATTAATTACCGTAGCGCCGGACACGGCGTGCACCCAGGACAGGTAGCTGAAAACCTCCGTCAGTGGTTTCGATTGAGCCATAATGCTTCCGGCTGGGTTTGTCCTTCTCTTATGCTGTTTGCCCCCTATTGACGATGACCAAAGCAACAAAATTACTCCTCTTCTTTTTTTACCCAACAACGATCAGAGGTCAATCGTCGACGAAGTTGCTGGATTTATGACGATGCCGCACTTCAGAACTGCTTGCTCATTATTGCCTTTTGTACATCAACCAGGTTTTTTTTTTTTGCATACACCGATAATGTCTTACCAATCGCGCGATCAGACAGGGTTACACGAAGCACCGTAGCTAAATGAGCTTAATACGGCAAAATAATACGAATAATAGTAATTACACACGCACTAGCAGATAGGCAAGAAGTTATTTTTTTCGCTTGGACTATCCCCTTCTTTGGTTTGAAAACAAGTGAAATTGATACAATTTCCAGAGCGGACGACCTACAAGATCTTTGGAACAGGCCCCTAGTTGGGGAAAAATTTACACAAATTTAAAACTTTCACAGCAGACAGAAATTTTCGTACCGCTGCTCGTCGCGAGAACACTGTCGTAAATGAAAAATGAACGATGGAAAAAGAAAACTTTTGACGGATGACGATTGTTTATATATACGCAGCTTCGTTGGTGACGTATGAGGGAGTGGCGTTACAAACGTTTCGTTCGGCTCAAGAGGTGTTGCCTCCCGGGAAATCAAACGAAGTTAACTGGAATCTCGTCTTTTTAGGAAGAGGGGAATGGTGAGGGGGTAGAGTAGACCCGCATAAACAATAACCATAAGAAGCGCCTAACCACCAATTCGGGATATAATCCCAACTTTATGTGGTACGGTCGTACCATCTATGATATCGTTACCCTAATAAAAATTGTATGGTTAATTTGCTTAACGAAGTGTTCTGGGTATCATCCAAACCATTTGTGGAATAGTTCAATGATTTGAGTTATCATTCGTTTATGGTTATTTTTTATTAGGGTAGTGTATGGTACCCGTTTATTAGGGGATGCTGCAGGGAGTAAACAGTGGAGAGCAAGAGAGGATACTCGAGTACGCCCTATAATAAAATGTGTACGGTTATTTTGCTTAACGACGGATTTCCTTTGGGTTATTGTTCAGGTATGGTCAGGGGGTAAGTCACTCTGCCACCTTGTGTTAACACCCACAAAAACACACTCCGACACACTCCAAACACCTTGCCACCCAGGCAGTCTCCACATAACAGATAGTTTTTCATCAATCCTGGCACCACTTCCAAGAATGTTTACATCATATGTTTTTTTTTTTTTTACAGTCACTTTAACACTCTTGGGTCATTCGTGACTTGTCCGGAGGTGAGATTTGAACTCGTGACTTTGGCGTGAGAGTTATGGATGTTAACCACTAAGCCGAGGTCGCCCCCAACACATCATATGTTGTTTATAATAGACCAATCCATGATCTGATTTTATCATTCATTTTTGACAGTATGATCTGCTTTTTATTGATCTGAACCTCTCAAATGAGTAAACAAACCAAACTAACCTGCCAAATTATTTAGAACGTTTGGTTTATTTATGTGACCCAGGATATCAGCGATGTTTTTGCTGTAGATTTTTATATAGCTTATTACCATAGAGGTAACTCTAAGACCACTGGGTCCCGAAGAAAATCATTATTATTTTTGGCTCACTCAGTACCAGAACAACGGTCCCAAGCTATTTCACTCACCCCTGCATGTTCTGCATGAATCCGCACACCCCTGATGTTATCTGTCAAACTTTCATAGCGAATCAAAACAAACATAGTGTAGTAATAGAATTTCAACTAGAATAGGGTACGTTAATCGTTTGCTTGGGACCAATAGGCTACTAAAGTGGTGAGCCAATTTAAAATCGTTAGTTTCGTATTGATTGTTGTTATTACCCTACTTACCGTATATTTTAATCTGTATTCTGCGGTTATTTCCTGGGTTGTTTTTAAAATTTGTAAATTTATTTTCGCGATATTATTACAATTTATCATGGACGAGGTAAGTTTTTATTTAGCATTTTTACCTGCATTTTTAATTGTTTAGTTAACACCGAATTTTATTGCAGGATTACTTTTGGCAAAAACTGGAAGGAATGTACTCATATAAAAACTATATTGAGTATGTCTAACCTATGCAATCAGTCGCTTGGCAGATTGACCAGGAAAGAGATAATGCTTGTTGAACAAGATCTGCGAGAGATGGCAGAGGATGTAATCGCAAAAGCGCATGCTGGTGGTCCCTCGCTTGGAAGCGTGTATGGGCGGTTTGCAGGCCGACCGCATCAATTTAAATTCCTCGAGGGGGAGATTTTATGTCTAATGGACTTAGCGAACATCATCCAAACTCATGGGGTCTAGACGTTTATCCATCCGGTGATGAAAATCGGGAAAAGTTCACATGGACAGTTCAGACACGAGTCCGCTACCGATGAGCTTGACAGACTTCGGCTCAAGATTTCGGCTCATTTTTCTAATCCGTATGTCTTAATCTTAAGTAATCACATTCAATTATGTATTTAATACTATACTATATTGTATGACGTTTCTTGCATTTGTATGATTTTTTCAGAATATATTCATTCTTCATATTTCATTACTTAAAGCTTTTTTTTACATATTACAAGATTGAATTTCGTTTTGTTTTTTTTTTCAATACTAATTTATTCTTAGGAAATATCGCCTCAACCTCCAGGAGTTTATATCCAACTTGAAAATTTCGATCGCCACGGTTTCAAGCTCAAGACAGAGCTGACATAACATGTCCATTGTGCACGTTGGTCGGGCAGACCACAAAGCTAACAGCCATCGCCGATGCCTCTGAGAACTGGAACATCTTTAGTTTCACGCGGTATGTTGCTAAGCTGCATGATTCACTGGCATCAGAAGTCATCAAACGCCTTTCGTCAGATGTCGCTTGCCTAGAAGCTTCACCTCCTCTGAGGAAGCTTCCTCTAATTGAAATGGGCGATATAGAGAACACGATCGGGATCGAGAGCGACCATCAGCAAAATGGTGAAACGACTCATTTCACCGAGACTCAATGTTCATCAACAATACCGTCTCTGTTGGTTGCCAACCTCAAGCTTGAGTTGACAAATGCTACCGACCCTGACGAAGATGAAGATTTCATGATGATAAATTACAATCAAATTTGTCGATCACCCCTTTCTCTATTCCGTTGTATGGGAAATCCGTTTCGAGAGACTCGTGCCCGTAGAGAACTACCAGTCTTATACACTTAGTACGGGGCGAAGTTTACCAGCTGTGAGCTTTCATTCGCGAGTAATCAACGTTTTAAGCCATTGTTTACAAAAGCAATTCGGCCCTTTTGAAATGTTCACACCGCATTACTCAATCACGAATGTCCGTCATTGCTAAATTTAATGCGGCATGAAATCGCCAATTCAAACTCATCCATCTTCACAAAATAGTTGTTCTCAAGGGAAGCATTGAACCAACTTCCTTAGGATCCACTAACCACTTTTATCCCACTCACGGATTTTCTTTCTCAACGAATCACGAAGAATGTTCACATGGTTTCTTACGGATCTTCATCATTTTACTCCCTAAAAAAGAGTGGAATCAACAGTACATGAACGGTGGCTCCTGGTTTACTGATAGTAAGTATCCGGTCGGCGGAAAGATAACAGCTCGGATAACAGCTTCCTGTAGCGCTTGTGGTGGTATCTTTGCACCAGCGAGAAGCGGATCTTCGAGTCGTGGAACTGCTCGACGGGTCTTGGAGGCCTCAACCGATTCGACCTTGATGATCTGTTGGGAAAACATTCGCATCAGTGATTCTTTCCGGGTCAATACTACCAAAAAGCAACTCACCTGAATGGAGTGGGCACGGGCACGGTGGCGCGAAGCCATATCGCTATTGCACCGCCAACGGTCAGATCACGATACTCGCGGTACATGTTGTGGGTACGGGACAGGAATCGTAGCGCAGCCAGATGCCGAAGTTCATCACGCGCAACGGAGTTTTCTCCAGGATACGCTTGACCGAGACAATCTCACCGGTGGCCTTCTTGAACTTACGCAGCTGCCGCAGTAAGTACCTGAAACGGGACTTGGCCACGATCTGGTCCGGTGCGAAGATGTGCATCAATTCCGCCATGTATCACGCACAGACTGTCGTTTGCTTATTAGATTTTACAGGATTTTACCATAGGAGTAAAGAGCTATAACTGCATACAGAGTCACCGTCAACGCCAACAAACAACGACGATCGCAGGGGGATCTGTCATTTTCAGCGATGTGGAAGTCATGGTTGCCAGTAAACATTGTATGTTGCCGCTTGACGTTTTGACAGCTCATTCGACACAGAAACACCCTGAAACACCCAAAAACACACAAGAAATACAATCAGCACAGTCACAAAGTGGCAGAGTGACTTACCCCTGGGTAAGTACTGAAAATGAAACACAGTAAAATGTAAAAAATGTACCGAGTTTTCAGTATTTATTATGTTCTACTGAACAGTCATCAAACAAAATTCCTAAATAGCTGATCGCACCAGTAAATCAACTTACTTCCGTCATTCTCCTGCGTTTTACCAACCGGTGGAAACTAACAATTTTAAATTGGCTCACTGCTTGACTAGCCTATTGGTCCAAAGTACATCAATAAGCGTACCCCATTCTAGTAGAAATTCTAGTACTACACTATGTTTGTTTGATTCGCTATGAAAGTTTGACAGATAAAATGAGGGGCTCGTAGATTTTCCTATGTTTCGAGGGGTACATCGATTAGCTTGGGACATAAGAGAGAGCTGAGCAAGACGAGTAATTATGTTCGATGAAAACTTCGAAAGACTGATGGAGAGCTCGTGGAGAACAGAGTGCATTGAAAAGTGTTAATACTTTAAGAAAGGCATTTCAAATGTCCAAGAGTCCATGTGAGAATTGCAAACAATAAGTGTCTACGGTGGTGTGTACGAATATAATAATACTTGTGACTGTGACGTTATCAATTTAACAGCTCTTTACTGCGTGTCCAGCAAACCGTTAACTGAATTTTGACGTAGGACTACGTCTGTGGTTTCTATATGGGGGTATACTTTGTGAAAACCGAAAATGGAACATGTAACAAAATTATGAAAGATTTTGAACGTTAATAACTCAGCTGCCCCGGGACCAATTTCAATAATTTTATCACCAATCGATCAGAAATATTTCTACGCTTCTGCTAAATTTACGACCTTATGACACGAATGTGCAACTTTTGCTATGATAGTTAAATTCTTTCAAAGTTGAATTCCAACCGGTCTCACCAAACGGTGTTTATTCACCGTCCACAGTCACGATATGACAAACCATAAAAATATGTCAAATTCCTATATGGAGATGAGGTCAAAATAAATATTGCGTACTTTTCGTTTCTGTTTGGAGAACTCAATGTCGTTAAGTTCACTATTTCCCGGGAGCTCACCCAGGAGGAATGACCGTTTCTTTATTTGATAACGTCTGTAACGTTATCCTTCAACTCGCAAGGTTTTGACAGTTCCCGTCTCGTTTCAATCGCAAAATTTGAAGGAAAATGTGACCGTGCCTGTTTTGTAATCCATCTCTAAACTAAACATTGAAAAAGTATCACAGAAAATAGTAAAATTGGGTGAATTTTGCGCCTTAAAATGTTGAAAATTCCAACCGGAGCTCGGCTACTGTCGGAGATCGTCAAAACCGCCTCCATAAACCAAGCGGCAAGATGGTACTGCGTCACATCTTCATCCACCGGTGCCGACATGAAATCCTTTCTGTCATACGGTGAGTATCGTCGCTTGATGTTCCGGAATTCTCAATTCCATGTAGTTATTAATTACAGATAAGGATCCAGGTCCAGCGTTCATGCGAGATGATGTGCAAAAGCTGTTGAAATCGATGACACGTTTGGAGTTGGACCGGGTATTCCGGAAGCGCTCCGTCAAAAATAACACGGTGGAGTACAAGTTCATGACCAACGATCAGCTGCGCCAGGAAGTGATGCAGTCGATCGGAAGGGCAGACCGAATGCTGCAGATGCCACCGGTGGTGGATGTGATGCGTGAGAATCCCAAGGTCCTGTCGAAAGATGGAGCGCTGAAGGGATTTTCTGACGTCAAGATGGTATTCACGGACATCACATTCGGCTTGAAGAATAGCAAGAGGACGATTGTGGAACGGTTACCGGATGGAACGCTGCAGGAAGCTGCATACGCGACGAGGAAACGTTTGAATCAGATTTACTTCCCATTGAAGGGCAGATACGTTCGGACGCCGCAGATGTTCGAGGCGGGCAATCTGAAAAAGATTCTGGAAGCGAAGGAGTATGAATTTGTGTTGGACAGAGCTTGCGTGCAGTTTGAGCCCTATGAAAAAGAGTACCATGATATAACAGCCACCGTGTACTTACATGTAAACGAGAACAAAGCTTTTGATTTGTTGCGATCGACCAGACACTTTGGTCCGATGTGCTTCTTCCTGGCGTGGCATCGATTGGTCGACAATCTGCTGTTGGATGTGATCAAACGGAACTACTTGAGGAATGGCGTTGAGTTGATTGCGTTGTATGCTTCCTTGCACGATGGCCTACAGATGAAGGCGGAAAACTTCGAACAACTCAAGAAGCACGTCCTCAGTACAGAACCGCCGATGTTCGAATCGGAGGACAAGAGCCTGGAAGAGTTGCAGCAAGATGAGAAGTATCTGACGGTTATCGAGCAGTTTGTGGGAGAACATTGCACGAAAAAAGTGCAGCTGAACTTGGCGATCGCAGCGTACCGAGAGATGGCTCACGAACGGCAACAACTTGCCGAAGGTATCCGGAAAATGCACGGTGAGAGATAAATTAGTCGGAAGATGTTAATATTATATAGGTACATACAATAAAACGAGCTGAAACTTGCGAAGGGTTCTGATTTATTTGCGAAGAAAAGCTGAAGGGTTACGTAATAGAGCGAGCTTTGGAATTATCCCGGAGGCCATCCCAGTTGGCGTCCACCGATGACGTGCAGATGCAAATGGAATACGGATTGACATCCGTGTTCGCCGTTGTTGACCACCAAGCGAAATCCTTGCGGCGCCTTCTGTTGACCCAGCTGACCGGCCATCAACATCAAGTACCCGAATAGCTCCATATCAGCAGGAGTTCCATCTTCTAGTTTCGGAATTCGTCGCTTCGGAATCAGCAAAAAGTGTACCGGTCCCTGCGGTGACACGTCGTTAAATGCCAGGCACTTGTCATCCTCGTAGATGATATCCGCCGGGATTTGTTTCCGGATGATCTTGTCGAAGATGGTGTCCGCATCGGGGACAGGCGGTTTCGGGTTACCAGTTCCGGTTGTGGCGAGTAGGCGAATGGGGTGCACTAGCGACCTTGATTTTTTCGGTGCTATAGCGCGCTGGAGTAAACCAGTGGAAGCGATCAGGCGATTCATTCGGCTTTTCGTGGGCGGTGAATTTTTCCGATTCAAAACATTGAAGATTGCATTTTTTTTGTGATCATTCATAAACGGGTATAATAATCTCTATCAAAACTGGAATATCCACAATTCCTCTACTATAGTATACTGATAGATGAATGAATCGTATAAATTGTTTTTTTTTGTTAATCATAACGCTCGTAACGCTCTGCGTCGACTCCGACAACTTCGTCAAAATTTTAATGCCGCCAGCTGAAATCCGCGTTGGAAATTTTGTAAACACTCAATCGGCACGCTGCATTTCAACGCGCGGGTTACAGTTCAGCTCAACAAAAGATTTGAGTATTCGTGTTCTATTGTTCTCCGATTGGATTCAGCAACTACTCAGCTCACTTCAGATGTCTACCGAAGCGAAACGCCCCAGGATGGCTGACCGGAAAGGGAAAAGTGAAAAACGCAATTATTACGCCAAATCGTTCGGTGACTCGAGGAAGAAACTCTACCTGGAACCGGGCCAGTGCGGATTTATGGTAACGTGCAATTTTCGCGAAAGGGACTGCATCCAGGACGGCTACCGTCTGCTGAATGAGTACGCGGATGAATTGTACGGTAAGGTGGGCGAAGCTGAGAAGAAGCCAGCATCGGACGAAGGTAAATGATTTTAAATGATTAAGAGACGGCTATCAAACACATTGCATTCTATAACAATCGTTACTGTTATTTATCCACAGAGGAGAAGGAGGAGGAGGATGAGGTGGACATCTCAGTGTTAGTTCAAAACGAGGCGGAAGCAGTCAAGAAGCAGCGGGCTCAGTTTCGTTTCAAATCGGTGGAAACCGGCGCGAAGAACTGTTGCTTCATTACAACAACACTGAAGGATCCCAAGGAATTGGCTTTGAAGATCCTGCGCGATCTGAACGAAACTAAGAAGAGTAAGACTCGGAACATTCTACGGTTAATGCCGATCGAAGTGGTCACAAGGGCCAATCTGAAGGACATTATCGATGCCGCGGGCGCTCTGTTCGATAAATATTTCCTGAAGGAACCGAAGACGTTTGCCATCATCTTCAATCGGCGTTTCAACAATGACATCGAAAGGACCAAGGTCATCGAAGAGTTGGCCGGACTGGTGTCTTCGAAGAACATTAACAATAAGGCCAATTTGAAAAACCCAGACCTGGCCATTATTGTGGAAGTGATCAAAGGGCTGTGCCTGATCAGTGTCGTGCCGGAGTACTTCCAGCTGCGGAAGTATAACTTGCTGGAGATCTGTGCCCAAAAGGAAGAAGGTCCGAGCGCGGAGAAGAGCAAGCCGGATTCTGAGGATGCCACGGAGAAATCCGATGAGAAAGCATACCAGGATGAAGGAACCAAATCGGAGAAAACCCAGGATAAAGAGACCAAATCGGAGGAAGCTTCGATCACAGAGTGACGTTCTTTACCGTAACGTGGAAGTGGGTTTTATTTTCAAGATTATCGATAATAAAATTAAACTTGTTAAATAGTATTTACAACGAATATCCAAATCAAGAAATAGAAAATCAATGTTTAGGCTTCTTTCCACCGCCTCCGGAGTGTCCTTGAATGCCCGTACTACACTTGGAACTTGTTATTTGAATTTCCGCCAGAGTGGGAGCGCTTGCCACCGGGACAGCAGCCAGTTGGTGGCTGCTACTGGGACGTTTCCGACCGCCACCGCCGCCGGGAGATTTCGATGGGGAATACTGTTTCAGGCACTCCACATCGTTGAAGATGACCTGGGCTCCACCGCCGGTCGTAGGAATGACGTCCCCTTTGAAGATTTTCGTCTCTACCTCACCCTCAGTATCGGCGTCCTGAGAGATAAGACAGTACTTAGAAGCCTTGGCGCTAGTTACGTCCCGAGCATCGGTCAGCTTCGTGATGGACTTCCGATCGGTGTAGTAAGGCTGGAAAATCGTTCCCAGTGGTACGGGGTTCGCTGCCCGATGCTCCAGCCAACGCTCACCGGTCGAACGCGAACGACGATGACGTGGATTGGCCACTGCGACTCCCTGTGGAAAAATTGAATCGATTCAGTCAATGGACTCCCAACAATCTTACCCCTTAAAGACATCTTACCCGTCTGGAACGCGGCGTTTGCAGTGCTCCATTCGAAGTCGCCGTCACGTGACTGGTAAGCGGCGTCGCCAACTCATCCACACTGTTCGATCTGGCAACCTTCTTGACCGGTGTCTCGCCCTTGATGATCTCAGAAACCAGCCTCAATCGCTCGTCCTTCTCGCGCATTTCCTCCCGCAGCTTGTTCTTCTGCTCTTGCAGCTTCACTTCCAACTCACGGCTCATCTTCTCCGATTCGACGGCAATCTTCGAGGTGAATTTCTTCCGCTGCCGCTCCTTCTCGATCTCATTCTGATTGAGCATCTTTGTTTTCTGATTCAACTGTGTCTGTAGATCCCTCACCCTTTCCTCCAACGTCCGATTACGTCGGTTTAGGTCGTCAATCGAACTCTCGTAGATCACAATTTTGTTCTCCATTGCCTTGATCTTCTGCCGGTTCTGGTTCAACACTCCCTTGATCGAGGAATTGTCCGCCCTCAGTGCCACGTTATCTCTCTCAATCTTCAACAGATTCATTCGGAATCGGTCTTGTCGCACATCATAATCTTCGATCAGCGATCGACGTTTGACGATTCTCATTTCCAACAGTTTGATCAACTCCCTGATAATTTCCTGCGCTTCCGGACCGTTCATTTTCAGTTCCGGGAAGTTGGGACCCAGGCTGTACACCAATCCCAGATCCACATCCATTTTGATACCCTCTTGGTGTCGCTTTTCGATGTCGTTCATTGCAATCTTGAACAGTTGATTGGCCTTGCGGCGTCCTGGAGTCAGTCCCACATCAACCTTGACTGGCGTTGGCCGAGTTATCTGCACGTCCTGCGTCATTTCGGCAAACTTCATCACCTGAGCCGTCTCGTCGTAATCTTCAGCCCTCGGATTGACGCAAACTATCATCCGAACCTGTCCCTCACCGTCGAAATAGTTCTTGAACAGGTGTGTTATCTTCGAATCTCTGTACGGTACCTTTTTCAAACTTCCGGTCATCTGATTCTCCCGCAAAATCTCCAAACACGTCCGCAGTGTCATCAAACTGTTATTGATATTTCCGGCTTCGCGCAACCTCTGTCCGGTGTTCCCGGTTCGACTTGTCCTCTCACTACCCGCCAAATCCACCAACGAAAGCTGACTGATTGTGACTGCGTTCCGATCCTGAACTGCGTGCTCACCGTGATTATCTACCGGAGCCTGAACCAATCGGATGGTGAAAACCGAATGCGATCGACTGGATTCCGCGTTCAGAATCGTGTGACCAACGCGCTTACGCTTTTGACCAAACTGGAACACTTCCAGCGCTTCTTCCATCGTTTTAACTTCGACTTCCGTCACTCCGTGGACAAACATGTTGCGATTGGCATCCTCGCGGACCATCTTGCTTTGCAATGTCCTAAAAACCAAACCAAAAATCAAAATCCCAACCATCTTTCCTCCCTCAGAAAACTCACTTTTGAATGGTCGTCTCCTCCAGCAGATCATAAACGCAATTATTATACACCTCAACGTACGTAATAAAAACGGAATATATATTGTCCTCATCAATCCCACTCAGTTCCGACGGTTCCACCGACACTTTCGAAGCAATCTCCGGATCCAGATCCTTTCGCTTTCCCTTGTTCAGCTTTGAGTGCAGTTCCGCCTGTCGTTCCAACATGGCATCCGCCTCCGACAAAATGTCGAACCCATTCAATCGGTCCGGCTTGAATACAAATTTCTTCGCCTGGAAGTCCGCAATCGTTCGGAACAGCGCATCCAAGCACCGCGGCATAATTCCCCGATGGTGAATGTCCCCAGTCATCGTGTAGGTCTTCCCACTCCCGGTTACCCCGTAGGTAAACAGCAACCCGTTCCTTCCCCGAATCAGCCCTTCGACTAGCGGTTGGGCGACCGTCGAGTAAGCCTCATGCTGCGTAGAGGAAGCCTCGAACACATGCTTGAAGATGTACTGCGTTTCCTTCAGGCTCGTGATCTTGTAGTTGATCGCAATCTCAGGTGGTGTCAAGACGACCGTATTGTGAGCCGTGACCCGCAAACAGGACAGATCGGATTCGCAAGGCAACGGACGAACGCGGCAGTATACCTGCACCGGATCGCTTTGCAAGTTGTTGCCAGAATTTCCACGACTTTGCAGGGCCGTCACCTTCGGCAGGACCTTGATGGGAGTTTTCTGGCGCCTAGAATCCGAGGGAAAGTTTAACCCAAATTTCAAATCACCCTCAAACACCGGTTCACACATCGTCTTCATTTTCGAAGCTGTGGTATTTCGTCAGTATCAAATAAAGGTTTTTCATTAATCGTACACTAAAATTAAGTTTTTCGGGACGGAAAATGCACTAAAATCTATACTTCAGACAGGGGCTCGGTAGAAAAAAAAAACCGTTGTGTGAAATAAAAGTTCGTTACAGCAACTGCAGAAACAACAACAATAGCAACAACAGAAGCCATCATCAGGCCAACAGAAATAATGCATGAAAGACATGCAAAGAGGAAAGCGCAATCGTCGCCCAAATGAGCCAAAATGATGGAGAGTTGACCTAATGCGTTTTGCGCTACACTGAACCACACGCTAAGATCAGATAACCCAAATGTAGGTTTACTTTACCCAAATTAGGCGTAAGCTGCACAAACTCAGATATAGGTAAATTTTTTAACCCAAATATGGGTAAATTTAAGTCAAATTTGCATAAAAATAAATCATTTATGGTTCATAAGAACCCATATTTGGGTTAAAAAAAATTACCCATTTGTGAGTTTGTGCAATTTACGGCCAATCTCGGTAATCTCTTTGTACCGTCTAGGTAAACTGATCTTAGCGTGCAAGAAATCTCGAGTATTTTTAAAAAAAGTCCTAAGTAACAAATGTAATCAAATCGAGTTAAACGGTGCAAACTAGAAACCCTCTCTAGTTCAAACTATTACCAACAATCAATACGAAACTAACGATTTTAAATTGGCTCACCACTTTAGTAGTCTATTGGTCCCAAGCAAACGATTAACGTACCCTATTATAGATGAAATTCTATTACTACACTATGTTTGTTTTGATTCGCTATGAAAGTTTGACAGATAACATCAGGGGTGTGTGGATTCATGCAGAACATGCAGGGGTGAGTGAAATAGCTTGGGACTGCTTGGGACCGTTGTTCTGGTACTGAGTGAGCCAAAAATAATAATGATTTTCTTCGGGACCCAGTGGTCTTAGAGTTACCTCTATGGTGCTATAGCGATATGGCTTCGTGCCACCGTGCCCGTGCCCACTCCATTCAGGTGAGTTGCTTTTTGGTAGTATTGACCCGGAAAGAATCACTGATGCGAATGTTTTCCCAACAGATCATCAAGGTCGAATCAGTTGAGGCCTCCAAGACCCGTCGTGCTCACATCAAGCTGTTCCACGACTCGAAGATCCGCTTCCCGCTGGTGCAAAGAAACCACCACAAGCGCTACAGGAAGCTGTTATCTTTCCGCCGACCGGATACTTACTATCAGTAAACCAGGAGCCGCCGTTCATGTACTGTTAATTCCACTCTTTTTTAGGGAGTAAAAATGATGAAGATCCGTAAGAAACCATGTAAACATTCTTCGTGATTCGTTGAGAAAGAAAATCCGTGAGTGGAATAAAAAGTGGATCCTACTGGTTGGAGGAAGTTGGTTCAATGCTTCCCTTGAGAACAACTATTTTGTGAAGATGGATGAGTTTGAATTGGCGATTTCATGCCGCATTAAATTTAGCAATGACGGACATTCGTGATTGAGTAATGCGGTGTGAACATTTCAAAAGGGCCGAATTGCTTTTGTAAACAATGGCTTTAGACGTCGATTACTCGCGAATGAAAGCTCACAGCTGGTAAACTTCGCCCCGTACTAAGTGTATAAGACTGGTAGTTCTCTACGGGCACGAGTCTCTCGAAACGGATTTCCCATACAACGGAATAGAGAAAGGGGTGATCGACAAATTTGATTGTAATTTATCATCATGAAATCTTCATCTTCGTCAGGTTCGGTAGCATTTGTCGACTCAAGCTTGAGGTTGGCAACCAACGGAGACGGTATTGTTGATGAACATTGAGTCTCGGTGAAATGAGTCGTTTCACCATTTTGCTGATGGTCGCTCTCGATCCCGATCGTGTTCTCTATATCGCCCATTTCAATTAGAGAAAGCTTCCTCGGAGGAGGTGAAGCTTCTAGGCAAGCGACATCTGACGAAAGGCGTTTGATGACTTCTGATGTCAGTGAATCATGCAGGTTAGCAACATACCGCGTGAAACTAAAGATGTTCCAGTTCTCAGAGGCATCGGCGATGGCTGTTAGCATTGTGGTCTGCCCGAGCAACGTGCACAATGGACATGTTATGTCAGCTCTGTCCTGAGCTTGAAACCGTGGCGATCGAAATTTCCAAGTTGGACATAAACTCCTGGAGGTTGAGGCGATATTTCCTAAGAATAAATTAGTATTTAAAAAAACAAAACGAAATTCAAACTTGTAATATGTAAAAAAGCTTTAAGTAATGAAATATGAAGAATAAATATATTCTGAAAAAATCATACAAATGCAAGAAACGTCATACAATATAGTATAGTATTAAATACATAATTGAATGTGATTACTTAAGATTAAGACATACGGATTAGAAAAATGAGCCGAAATCTTGAGCCGAAGTCTGTCAAGCTCATCAGTAGCGGACTCGTGTCTGAACTGTCCATGTGAACTTTTCCCGATTTTCATCACTGGACGGATAAACGTCTTGACCCCATGAGTTTGGATGATGTTCGCTAAGTCCATCCCTAATGAATTTGTTATGGTTACTTTGCTTAACGACGTGTTCGGGGTATTATCCAAACCATTTGTGGAATAATTCGATCATTTGAGTTATCGTTCGTTTATGGTATTTTTTTTATCAGGGATTAGACATAAAATCTCCCCCTCGAGGAATTTAAATTCATGCGGTCGGCCTGCAAACCGCCCATACACGCTTTCAAGCGAGGGACCACCAGCATGCCCTTTTGCGATTACATCCTCTGCCATCTCTGGCAAATCTTGTTCAACAAGCATTATCTCTTTCCTGGTCAATCTGCCAAGCGACTGATTGCATAGGTTAGACATGCTCAATATAGTTTTTATATGAGTATGAATGCTTCCATACATTCCTTCCAGTTTTTGCCAGAAGTAATCCTGCAATAAAATTCGGTGTTAACTAAACAATTAAAAATGCAGGTAAAAATGCTAAATAAAAACTTACTTCGTCCATGATGAACTGTAATAATATCGCGAAAATAAATTTACAAATTTTAAAAACAACCCAGGAAATTACCGCAGAATACCGATTAAAATATACGGTAAGTAGGGTAATAAGCTATATAAAAACCGAGATAAAAACCTACAGCAAAAAAATCGCTGTTATCCTGGGTCACATATATAAACCAAGCGTTCTAAATAATTTGGCAGGTTAGTTTGGTTTGTTTACTCATTTGAGAGGTTCAGATCAATAAAAAGCAGATCATACTGTCAAAAATGAATGATAAAATCAGATCATGGATTGGTCTATTATAAACAACATGAGATGTAAACATTCTTAGAAGTGGTGCCAGGATTGATGAAAAACTATCTGTTATGGGGAGACTGCCTGGGTGGCAAGGTGTTTGGAGTGTGTCGGAGTGTGTTTTTGTGGGTGTTAACACAAGGTGGCAGAGTGACTTACCACCTGAGATTTTCACTTCTCTTCGCCTTTCACATCGTCATCAACGCCAATCCTATTGCTGAGTTGTAAATTGGACCTTTTGCAATGTTCAGCTTGAATTCTATGCACAACTTTACGTTGACCCAACATTCATGGTAGCGCAAATAAGCCGAACCCATGGTTTCGTCTTTCCTTTCTTCCTCGGTATGTTTTCCGATTCCGGCCCAATTTCGCTCGTTCTCGTTCATTTCCTCATCAGTCATCGGCAAGTGCGGTTGGAATTATATTCTGTTGAGTGAAAATAGTTGAATTTAAGTGGTTTTACCATTGAAAATGTGCTAAATGGTACCGAATCTGATGGAATCAGGTAATTGTTTTAAAATTTTCCTGAACATTTTATTAAGATGTGCTGAAAATTGCTCTAATTTGTTTTACCCACGCCTCGTGAAGTGCCAACATGACGATATTATAAATTGCTTTTTTTGTGCTTAGTTCTTAAGTTTTAGATAAATTTATTATGTAAATCGATAATTTTGATTAAATGAGACTAATTTCGTTGCATTTTTCGCATGTTGGGGCTAAATTGGGGGTATAAAAGTTGAATTTTAAAAGCCACTGTAACTTAACCTCAAATCCGACATTTTGTTTCCTCCGCTTCCAGATGAGAGATGACTGCAACGGAAATGACTGATAAGTAAGAAGAAGAACGCAAGGAAAGGCGAACGGAAACCGTTCGCTGCATTTGTTTGAATTCGTAAAGTGTAAACATCATCGCCAAGCGGCAGAGAAAGCGCAATGTATTTATACAACTTTATCCTACAGCGCGCCACCGGCATAACCCACGCGGTACATGGCTGCTTCGCCGGCACCAAACAGCAGGAGATCCTGCTGTCCAAGGGCAAGAGCCTGGAGCTGGTCCGACCGGATCCCAACACGGGGAAGGTGCACACGTTGCTGCAGACGGAGATCTTCGGGGTGATCCGGTCGTTGATGTCCTTCCGGTTGACCGGTGGAACAAAAGGTGCGTTGTTGCTTGTGGAAGTAGATTTTAATTTTGAGAGGACGAATCAGGCAAATCTTGCTTCACCCGTGAGCGAAACCATATTCCGGATCACGGGTGAAAACTCATATAGTTGCCTAGAGAGAAAGCTCACATGTCGCTTTTGCAGCGTGACCCAAGCGCGCTGCGAATTGAAACTTGAGAGGACATTTCTATAACGAAACATTTTGGGGAAAATCTTCCGATAACCTTGGATAGGTTAACGTTTATCACCCGGCTTCTTTGCCATGGGGTTAGATGTCATAATTCAAGGGACAGCAATTCCATCGATTTATAGGCGTGTTTTTGTCTGTTGTAGACTTGAACACACGACTCGGTGGGATAGATATTCTTGAAAGATGTTCCTGACACGAGATTGTAATTTGAAATGTTTTAACCTTGATGATTTTTTTCCTTGCAGATTATGCCGTCGTCGGTTCGGATTCGGGACGAATTGTCATTCTGGAATACAACCCGACCAAGAATCAGTTGGAAAAGGTTCACCAGGAAACGTTCGGTAAATCTGGATGTCGTCGAATTGTGCCGGGTCAATTTTTGGCCATCGATCCGAAGGGTCGTGCCGTCATGATTGGAGCGATTGAAAAGCAAAAGTTGGTTTACATCTTGAACCGTGACTCGGAAGCTCGCTTGACTATTTCATCCCCGCTGGAGGCCCACAAATCGAGTACGTTGACTTACCACATGGTTGGAGTCGACGTCGGATTCGAAAATCCCATGTTTGCCTGTTTGGAAATCGACTACGAGGAGGCGGATCTGGACCCCACCGGAGAAGCCGCCGCCAAGACGCAACAGACCTTGACTTTTTACGAGTTGGATCTGGGATTGAATCATGTGGTCCGGAAGTATTCGGAACCGTTGGAAGAGCATGCCAACTTCTTGATCTCTGTTCCCGGAGGCAACGATGGACCTTCGGGTGTATTGATTTGCTCGGAAAATTACTTGACGTATAAGAATCTCGGAGATCAGCACGATATTCGTTGTCCAATTCCTAGACGGCGAAACGATCTGGATGATCCGGAGCGTGGAATGATCTTTATATGCTCGGCAACGCATAGGACCAAGTCGATGTACTTTTTCCTGGTCCAGACAGAGCAGGGAGACATATTCAAAGTCACATTGGAAACCGACGACGATGTCGTATCGGAGATCAAACTAAAATACTTCGACACGGTCCCCCCCGCTACGGCCATGTGCGTGCTGAAAACAGGTTTCCTCTTCGTGGCATGTGAGTTTGGCAATCACTATCTCTATCAGATCGCTCACCTCGGAGATGATGACGATGAACCGGAGTTCAGTTCGGCAATGCCGTTGGAAGAAGGGGACACTTTCTTCTTCGCTCCTCGACCGCTGAAGAATTTAGTCAATGTCGATGAAATCCATTCGTACGCTCCGATTCTGGGCTGTCAAGTGGCAGATTTGGCCAATGAGGATACGCCACAGCTCTATCTTGCCTGCGGTCGAGGACCACGGTCTTCGATCCGAGTACTCCGCCATGGACTGGAAGTCTCGGAGATGGCCGTTTCGGAGCTGCCCGGTAATCCGAACGCCGTCTGGACCGTCAAGAAGCGCATTGATGGTGAGTCTCAATCTATTTCGAATTTTCATTAGTTTTAAGTAAAGTCCAACAGCTGACTGACAAATGAAGCACCATTATTCGACATCACCTGGATCCGTGGCTGGTTCCCTTCGGGGTTCTGGCCGGCGCGCATCCGAAACCGAGGGCTGTTGACGCCACATTCCATGCGTCATCGTACCTCAATGTCGTAGAACAAATTGTCCGCCGATTCCTGTTCGGGGATCGGCTGTCGACTAAAGTAGATATATTCCTGATCCTTGGCGTATTGCCCGTTGGGCTCTGATCGCTGTAGATAAACCATATCAGCTACATTTTTTGAAATACCATTGTCAGTCAGCTTCTGCAAGATCCGAAACTAAGGAACTATCAAGATCAGAATTATTAATCACAAAAGCTGGTGTTTGGATTCACACTTCCTTGCGAATCCCAAAACGAAAGACAAAAAGCCAAAGCACGAAACCATTGTCACAAACACCAGTTTTTCCTCTCATTTTCAGACCGTCGTGGTTGAGTTGAGTTTTGGAGGCGATCTACGAACCGTCACTAAAAAGTTCTTCGCCAATAGGTAAGATAAGCGATGCCCAAGAAAACTAGAACAGAAAATCGATACTACACACATTAAGAACAGTCAATATTTTTTGGTTAGGCAACTTTTCCACTGATCAACGTGAATTCCGTGAACCATTTGAAACCATCACGTTTCCCCTTTCTCTCTCTGTTTCATTCTTCCAGAGGAGTTCGATGCGTACATCATAGTGTCGTTCGTGAATGCCACCCTGGTGCTGAGCATTGGCGACACAGTCGAGGAAGTCACCGACAGCGGCTTCCTGGGAACGACACCGACCCTGAGCTGTTCGGCGCTGGGGGACGACGCGCTGGTGCAGGTCTATCCGGACGGCATTCGGCACATCCGCGCGGACAAACGTGTCAATGAGTGGAAGGCACCAGGCAAGAAGACTATCACCAAGTGTGCCGTCAACCAGCGGCAGGTGGTGATTGCCCTGTCCGGTGGGGAGCTGGTGTACTTCGAGATGGATCCGGTAGGTTTCGTTGGCGGGGTAGGAAACGGGGTTGTGTGCAGGGGGGTTTGTAGCATTGGGTGAAATTGGAATTCTCTTTAAGCTCATTCTAAAATCGCCACCAGTAAAAACTGATTACGGATTCCATTTCGCTCATTCAAAAATAGTCGACCCGGCGAAGGTAAGTAGATTAGTGGGTGAGCCGGCTACTGGCATGTTCCTCTTTTATAGTGAACAATATTTTTAATTGGTATCGAAAACGCCGCATGTCGCACCATGTCGAATATAATGCAGTAATTCTTTATTTAGCATTCCCATGAAATTTTCGTTACATCAGTCCTAAGATTCTTTGCAGAACACTTCTCAAAATTATTAGAACTCACCCCAAGATTCTATTCGTTTCAATTTTCTTTAGTAGGTAATTTAGCTCAAGAATGTCTTGCAACTTTGTTCCGAATTATCTCGGAGTTCGCTTCTGAAAATTAACTTTACTTACCCTCTAGAAAATTTTCTCGAATACCCTTGGAATTGTCGAACACTTTTCTTAGAATTTCTGTATTTTCCTTTACAATTCTTTTCGGAATTCCCATACATTTCATTGGCACCCTAATGCACGTCCATAGACAGTCCTTACGCCGAAATACGTCATGGTGTTCAAGGAGCTCGCCCCATTATTGCACTCACACCTGATGGATTTCACCTCAGAATTGCATGGGAATTTTCCAAAATGCCCTTGATAGGAATTTTCTTGAAATTATCCTTTGAACTCCGTGGGAATTATTCTTTAGGATCTCCTGGAATACTACTCAGAGTTTCGTTGGAAGTGTGTTCAAAATGTTCTGCCGGGAACACTTTGGAAATCCCTCAAAATTCTTCTGCATTCTCTAAGGAATTCTTGAAGCTATCTTCAAACTAGCTTGAAATTCTGCAAAGAATTTTGGAGCTTTTAAGAATTATATTTCGTTGGAGCTAGTATGAATAATGTGAAAAACTAGCTTAGCCTCAACATATAATAAAATGTTCTCATGTAACCCTTAAAAAAAAATAAAAAAAATTGACGAAGACGTTGAAAATATGCAGAACAAAATGGATGTTCAACCGGTCCTATTCAATTCCTTTTATGCAGGATTTGAAAACAGCATAGGGTAGAGAACTACTTCGGCCTAATCGGCCATTTTGGGCCTATCGAGCAGCAAACTTCAAATAAGTCCATGATTTCAGAGTAAACAAGTCAATTATGCGTTTGGTACGATACTTTAGTTAATAAGCTACCGAACGAAGTCAATGAGAACGCGTGGTATGAAGGTTTGCACCCATTATTCCCAAAAACAAAAGAAGCGTTCCGACCGAATCAATTTTTATCTTCATCTGATAGGCCGAAGTAAATTCTATGGCGTTTCAATTGCGTTTCAATGCGTTAGGCCAAGTTCAAAATCCGTAGGCCGAGTTTGGCGTCAAGAAGCAGTGTTGGACTTTTGAAAATATCTCAACGATTGGTTTCTCGTTTTCAAATCTTACAGTACGTACGGAAAGGTAAATAAATGTGGAAGCCATCAGTAATAATAACACTCCGTTTGGTACTAAACTGAACTAGATTAAGAAAGACTAAGTGCGGGTTATGCTTAATAGACCGGAAATAGGGTAGTTAACCCTATTTAAAAAATTACAGATTCTAGTCAAATTACCGCAGAAGTCCGCCAATGCTACAAACTCCTCTCACATTAGAAACATTTCCATGATGAACACCTGAATCAGAATTGTTTTGAAGAGTACAACGGTGTCCTGCAGTGCTGACCGAGTATCACTATTCAAAACATTCACCCCCAAATCATCCCCCGATAGTAACGATTATTTTCTCTCGCTTTACCCCCCTCTCTTTCCAGACCGGTCAACTGAACGAATACACCGAGCGTAAGAAAATGCCCAGCGACGTTATGTGCATGGCCCTGGGATCGGTCCCGGCTGGAGAGCAACGGTCCTGGTTCTTGGCCGTCGGTTTGGCCGACAATACGGTCCGAGTGATTTCGCTCGATCCCAGCGATTGTCTGTCGCCTCGATCTATGCAGGCCCTGCCATCGGCGGCCGAATCGCTCTGCATCGTCGAGATGGGAACCGGCGACACGAATGAGGAAGGTGTTGCCTCGTCCGCCGGATGTATCTACCTGAACATCGGTCTGACCAACGGTGTACTGTTGCGCACTGTGCTGGATCCGGTGTCGGGAGATTTGGCCGACACACGAACCAGATATCTTGGATCGCGGCCGGTCAAACTGTTCCGCATCAAGATGCAGGGAGCGGAAGCAGTCCTAGCCATGTCCAGTCGAACGTGGCTCAGCTATTACTTCCAGAACCGGTTCCACCTGACCCCGCTGTCGTATGAAACGTTGGAATATGCGTCCGGTTTTTCGAGCGAGCAATGTTCCGAAGGTATCGTAGCCATTTCAACGAACACCTTGAGGATTTTGGCTCTGGAGAAACTGGGAGCGGTGTTCAATCAGATTACCTTCCCCTTGGAATACACTCCGAAGCGATTCCTGATTCACAATGAAACGGGAAAGTTGATCATCAGTGAGACGGATCACAATGCTTACACGGAGGAGACGAAAACCATCCGGAAGAAGCAGATGGCGGACGAGATGAGGGAGGCAGCTGGGGAAGACGAACAGGAATTGGCCAATGAGATGGCGGATGCCTTCATCAATGAGGTGCTTCCGGAGGACATCTTCTCGGCTCCGAAGGCCGGCACGGGAATGTGGGCGTCCCAGATAAGGGTGATGGATCCTGTCAACGGTCATACCTACTCGAAGGTACAGTTGGCCCAGAACGAATCGGTCATGTCGATGGCCTTGGTGAGATTCATTGTTGATCAGAAGTGGTACGTTGTGGCTGGACTTGCGAAAGATCTGCAGATGAACCCGAAGGTAGCGAATGGTGGGTTCATCGATGTGTACAAATATGACGTGCATACGCACCAGCTGGAACATTATCACAGGACAGAGATCGACGAGGCTCCTGGAGCGCTTTGCGGTTTCCAAGGTCGAGTACTGGTCGGCGTTGGTCGTGTGCTGAGGATCTACGATCTTGGCAAGAAGAAACTTCTGAGGAAGTGCGAGAACAAACACATTCCCAACCAGATTGTCAACATCCAAGCCATGGGATCGAGGGTATTCGTTTCCGATGTTCAGGAGTCGATCTACTGCATCAAGTACAAGCGAGCCGAGAATCAGTTGATTATATTTGCCGACGATACCCATCCTCGGTGGATTACGACGTCCACGTTGTTGGACTATGACACGGTTGCAACGGCTGACAAATTCGGGAACATAGCCGTCCTTCGCTTGCCGCACTCCGTTTCGGATGACGTCGACGAAGATCCAACCGGAAACAAAGCCCTGTGGGATCGAGGTCTGCTGAATGGTGCTTCACAAAAGGCGGAGAATATCTGTACATTCCATCTGGGCGAAACGATCATGTCCCTGCAGAAGGCTACCCTTATTCCGGGTGGTTCCGAGTCACTGATCTATGCAACGATGAGCGGAACGGTAGGGGCACTGGTACCGTTCACCAGTCGGGAAGATTACGACTTCTTCCAACATCTGGAGATGCACATGCGCAACGAGAATACACCGCTCTGCGGAAGGGACCATCTGAGCTACCGGAGTTACTACTACCCGGTGAAGCACGTGATGGATGGCGATCTGTGCGAGCAGTTCACTTCGATGGATCCGGCCAAGCAGAAGAGCATCGCATCGGATTTGGGTCGTACGCCAAATGAGGTCGCGAAGAAGCTGGAAGACATCCGAACGCGATATGCGTTCTAAGCGAGTGAAAGGTGAGTCGAAGGTGATCTTTCAGTTTGTTTGACAAGAGTCGTTTTTCGTGATGACTTAAATTTATGACCTTTGGACACTTAAGAATTTCCAATGTTTACGACCCTACGTTAAGTAGTTGACTGATTTATTTTTTCATCGAATTAAGAATGCTTAACTATCGGACCGAATGAAACCTGGATTTTTGTTCTGTTTGCAGATTTGCGTGGGATAAGTGTCCGCTGGCGTGTGTCGAGGACTTTTGGAAAGGTGAATAATTTCAACATTCGTACTTGAATTCCGTTAACGTGATTCCTTATGATGAATTGCTAAAAAAGACCTTTGGACACCTAAAGAAAATGCATTGATTAAAACTACGTTAAATAGCACTGATGCCTGTTGGAAAAGGAAAATCTCGCACCTCGAAGCTTCATAACCTGTTTGCTAATGATGTTTATGATCTCTTTTCCTATTTCAGAATACTGACTGCTAATGCAACAAGAACAACACTGATAAATGCTAGGTAAGTTTCAGATTGCAAATGCAGTCAGTCGAATGTTAGAGTAACTCAATTTATTCATGATGAATTGCTTAAACAAGACCTTTGGACACCTAACGAACAGCATTGATTAGAACTACGTTAGAAAGCACTGATGCAAGTCTATTCATCATTGAATCGTTGAAGCCGGTTGTGGAAACTTCCAAGTTAATAATAAGTTCTTTCTTTTACAGAATATCTGTCAAAACGATGTTGAGGAATCAACCAACCTATTAGCTGTTTAAGGTGAGTTCAATTTTCTGTTTAATTCGGTTAACGCATTTCCGATCGTTTTTCCATGATGTGTAACCGCTTGTCGGTTTACCGTGTTTCAACTGAATTTTGTTGATTATAACTTAACCCTTCTGATCATATGCAACTTGGCCAAAGTGCTTCCTAACGATTGAGCATAGATAATTTAACGGTTTCTCTCTTTTTGTTGCAGACCGCAGAATTTGTCACCCGCATATCTTCGAGAAAAATTACGTAATTTGGATTAGTCCAAGTTGATTTTGTGATCAACAACAACCCATCTCAACAGTGGACGCGGTAATCCATCATTAATCTATAAGGTAAGTTCGACAGTTTGGGTAAGACGAAAGTGAGTGGGTGGTTGCATATCTCAAAGTTTTCTAGTTACCGAGTTCTTATAGTACGGTCGTAAAGAAGTTTTCCGTTTTCGGATCTTGCTTCTTCAATTGCATTCACTGGAATCTAAAACATCAAACCTCAAAAGTTTGTCCAACTCAACGGCAATACTGCGGGCTTTCTGTGCGTAGTGGATCACGAGGGAAAGTCAATTCAGTGCGTAATTGCTTTTGTAAACAATGGCTTTAGTCGTCGATTTCTCGCGAATGAAAGCACACTCATGAAAATGAATGACACCAGCACACAGAGGAATGTTTCCTGTATTAGCTAGCATTTGTAATTTGAAGGGGTGTGTTTTCATTTGTGAGAAATCTACGTCTAAAACCATTGTTTACAAAAGCAATTACGCCCCTTTGAAATGTTGGCTCTGAATTATCTTTAATTATTTGAGATATGCTAAGTCCCCAATTCAACCCATCCTCATACAACATGATGAAATACCATTTAACGCAAGATAGACTAAAGAACAACATTGATTAAAACACTGTTACCTGATCCATGAGCTGTTCCAGAATAGTAAAATCATTTTACCATCTGTCATCTAATCGAAACGTATTTCTTCTTTACTTTCAGAATTCTATCAAAATCGGTGTTGAATCTGTGTGGAAACATGCTGCCCTCATTTGCAGGTAAGAATGTATCTTTTAGTTGACGTTATTTTCCTTCCTACTTTAACAACTACAATGATGAAATACTCATCACGCAAGATAGACTAAAGAACTTCATTGATTAAAACTTCAATAACTGATTATGTTCGTCTTGTAAGTGCTTTTAAACCTAAACGAGGCAGGTTTTAACGAAAAAATGTTTCTCTTTTCCTTTTCAGAAGTTCTTACGAGATTCCTAGTTTAGCAGTTATCAATAGGTAAGTTTGTCTATTTCAATTCTCCAGTTCGTCCTAATCCATTCCTAAAATGATGTTACTCTTAATATACGCTATTACGGCCCTAATGCTCTGGGCAGAAGAATGATTATCTATTATTTCTGACTTCTTCACCTCTTCAACTAATGTACTTCAGACAGTGTGATTTCATGGACTCATCTTAACTTTTTGTTTATTCCCATTTTTTTAGATTGAAACTCGTTTGATGAATCTTGCAACCATCCAAATCCCATGGTAAGTTACCTGTACAAATTTCAAAATATGAGTTAAATCATAAAGCATGACCAAAAGCATCTTCTTAATGATGAACAAAAAAATATATAAGTTCGGACTTATGAATTTTCATAATGATTCGTTTTGTTTCACTGACAATCGCGCAATTCCCATCCAATCGTTTCCATCGTTAGCGTCGCATTGCATTTATTTTAATGGCAATATTTCTCCCTTTCCTCTTCCAGAACCCATAAATCATCGTCAACACACAAACAGCAGGACACTTGCCGCAACAGCGGAGTGGTATTAATACTTATTTATTTCTTTCCCGGTAGTGTTACTAGTTAAGTACATACTTTCTTTCACGTTGTAGTGAAGCTTACATTTTAAACCCATGTAATCATCAACACTGGATTATAATCATATTCCCAGTTTAACTTGCACGGCAGTGACTGTCTTCAATAATAACAGTGAAACGGACACACGCAACATCCGTACCTAAAAGGAAAACAAAAAGTCAATAAACAACAAAACAACCCTTGAAAATGGTAGCGAAAAAATTTCTCACGCGAATCTCAAAAAATCTCAAGAAGATGACAGCCTTGGTCCGCTCGCTCGCTCGTACACACCGGTACTTACAAGCGCCGGTTTCGGCCCCCTTTTTCACTTTCTCGTGCGTTTTTGATCTTTCCCAAAAAGGTCGTTTCTTCGTCACCGGGCCCAGGTGTCGGCCGCACTAAAAAAACTTCGGTTCTGCTTTACCTATCATCGTCAGAAGGGTAAATGAAGTCTTACAAAGTGTTGATATTTTTTGCAAAACGATGCTCTGGAACCCCCTGACGATGATAGGTAAAGCAGTATCGAAGCCGTTAGTTTCCCTAGGTAAGTAGCACCAGTGTGTGTTTACAAGTATTTCCCCTTTTCGCAGTTAAGTTTTCTGCCGCTTTTCGGTGCTCCTCTCAATAAATACGATCATTTGTTGCGGAACTTCTGGATGTGGATCGGCGACGATGGAGATGGGGAAAGGGAAATAGGTTGAGATTCTCGCATTTTCTGAATACAACCCACCGATTGTTGTTCAGCAGCATAGGGAAAATGAGAAGAGGGGTTAAGAAATAGTGTAAAGTATTAGCAAAATCTCATCGTCAGATCTGCTGTTCCTCCGTGCGGTTTGGTCGGTTTGGTTAGAATTAATGGTATTACAGATTACAGTAATGATCCGATTTTGTCAACCCCTCGCGCATCAGACTTTTATCTTTCAATAATTTCACATAACTGCAGGGTGGCCTCCCACCCCGAATTTCGTCAAAACCCCGGGAATTTGATATTCGAATCTACCAGGAAACTAATAATAGCATTAAATTTTATCAAAACGGATGTTATCGTTTATCGTCGACTTGGTTTTTAAAACTTTAACTTACGTTCAAGCTAAAATTTTCAAACAACTTAAAATTTGCAACATGATGAACCAAATTTACCTACATTTTTTTTTCTTCCTTTATTTAGGAGATTTTTAGCCGTAGGCTAGTTCCATCTCCGTAAAGGCTGGGAAGCGTTAGAAAGAGGTCCCCCAGCCACATTGCTTGAGTCCCCCCTATTCTGCGAGTCACGTGACTCTCTCTCACCGGTGAGGTGACTCTCCATTTGATTTGCATGGAGAGTCACCTCACCGGTGAGAGAGAGTCCCGTGACTCGCAGAATAAGGGGGAGTATCATGCTACTTTAACCTTTGATAATCTACTTAGCTAAAACATTTAAACAGCTAGTACAATAACACAGTAAACAGCATACGAAAAAGACAGACTAAAAGGATACAAAAAAAAAGAAGAACAAAATATAAAATGAACAAAACGAAACCAATAACAAAACATAGGCCCCCTTATTCTGCGAGTCACGTGACTCTCTCTCACCGGTGAGGTGACAATTGTCACCTCGTGTGAGGTGACTCTCCATGCAAATCAAATGGAGAGTCACCTCACCGGTGAGAGAGAGTCACGTGACTCGCAGAATAAGGGGGAGGTTCTGCAGCGTGACGTCACAAATGAAGTCAGTCCCCCCTATTCTGCGAGTCACGTGACTCTCTCTCACCGGTGAGGTGACAATTGTCACCTCACCGGTGACAGAGAGTCACGTGACTCGCAGAATAAGGGGGAGGTCCACTGTAGGAGGTCCTTGGGGGCCCCATCCAGTGGAGGGATGTCCGGACGGCCGAAAGAATCGATGGTGCTAAATCCTGCAGTATACAGGGCTGGTAGCGAGCTGGGTACTGTGGAGTCGATCAATTTTATTTTGCAAACCAATGAAAAACTGCTTGAAAATTTTCTCAAGTTTGAAACTGGTTTGCTCTTTTTCAGTTGATTCTCGCCAAAAGCTCTGACGAGCCAGGAGTGCTCGAGCCCCCATGATTCTATCAAAGTTTGTTTACATACATGTTTCGCCAAGGTATGTTTTACTCCCCCCTATTCTGCGAGTCACGTGACTCTCTCTCACCGGTGAGGTGACAATTGTCACCTCACCGGTAAGAGAGAGTCACGTGACTCGCAGAATAAGGGGGACTGTAATTGAAAACTTAGCTGCCTCATAGAAACTATGCTGGTTTTTATACTTTCATCACTAAGCCTGTTGGTTTTTATCTTTCAGCTTAAAATTAAGAATATTTTATGAAAAAGTATAGATCATTTTTATGATATAACAATGCTTGACAGTAGATAAGAACAGTAACTGCATTTGCTGCTTCTGAATGTTTGGCTCCCGCTTGACAGTTCACACTGGCTCCCAAGTGACAAGCACCTTGAGTGAGTCCGCAGCACTCAGGTAGCGAGTCACTTTTTAGTGACTTGGTCACTTTTTTCAAGCCAGTCACAAAAAAGTCTCTTTTTTTAAGGCCAAGTCACCAAAGTTACTTTTTCTTGCAAATAGTCACTATTTTCAACTTTTTTAGCGTGAATTTATTTCAAGATTGATCATTATTTGCTTTGTGGCGTTTAATCATATTTCTCTATCTACAGGGTGTCTACTCATTGTTCTAAATAAAATTACCTGAGTTTTCCAGGTTTTTAAAGTTCTTCAACGGATAACTTCCAGGTTTATTATAAAAAAAGCTATTTTTAAAATGCGTTAATAATATGCTTTTTTCAGATCAAAAACAACAGCAATTTACCCAAACGTTTTTAAGACATAGGAATCAGTTTTAAAGAAACAGCTTTACAATCAAATCCATTGAATGTTGCAGTTTAACACTTACTTAATTTCTCACTTCATAAAGTTGAAAAAAAAAATACTGAGTTAGAATAAGGCCAAGCTGAAAATACGGGGAACTTATTGGACGCTTTAATAACCTCAAATCGGTTCTTTTAGCATCTGAAAATTTTCGGGAACTTTTATGAAGTTCCTAGAATTTCAGAGAACTTGACAACTGTGAAGTTCTAGGAACTTCATAAAAGTTCCCGAACTTGAGAAATATAGAAAACATGAGGGGTATTGTGCAAATTTTTAAGAAGTTCTAATTTCCTCAGAAAAGCTAGATCTAGAGATTTTTGGGCAATTTCAGATCTTAAGAGCAGTTTCCGTAGCTTTAGTCCAGACTTTTGGAGCAGTTTAAAGATCTATAATCGTTAAATTTGAAAAAAAAAACTCGAGATAGTTCTATGATGTGCTGAAAAAAAATCGAGAACCCCTAAGATGATCCGATAATTTCAAGGAAGTACAGAGCTCTTCAGAAAATTTATGAAAACTTCAGAAATATTTCAGAAACTTTACAGACGTCCAGAGAATTTCAGGGAAATTTTAAGGTGTTTACGGGAATTCCATATATTTCCTAGCTGCAGATCCTAGATCTTCAATAGAATTGAGAGCTTTAGGGAAAATTCGAGAACATCAAGACAGAATAGAGAATCAAAGGGCAGTTGAAATAATTTCAGGGTAATTGTAAAAACCTTAAAGAAGTTGCGAGAAACTCAGCGGGATCTTCAGCATAGCTGTGAGAGAATTTCTGGAACGTGATAAAACGTGAAATCGTGAGAGTATTTTAAGCGTGTTATATCATGGAGATTTCAAGAACGTAAATAATTGCGAAAATTTAGCTAAATTTATTAAAGAAAATCAACGAAATTCCATTAATTAAAAAAAAAATCCGACAACTTTTAGCAAGCAGTGATATCTTCAAGAAATTCCAAGGAACATCTTGTAGATTTAGATACTTTTAGATAGTTTCATGATATTTAGCGAAGTTCTGAGTACACTGGAGTCGCTTTTTACGCGGTGTTTTTTTACACGGTTTTTTTACGCGGTTTTTTTTTACGCGGATTTCGGAATTTACACGGTTTTTTTACGCGGATTTCAGAATTAACGCGGTATATCGTTATACACTAGAGTCGCTTTTTACGCGGTTTTTTTTTACACGGTCTTTTTTAACGCGGTTTTTTTACGCGGATTTCGGAATTTACGCGGATTCCGGAATTTACGCGGGACGTATCACCCGCGTAAAAAGCGACTCCAGTGTACTTCAAGGACGATCAGATAGCTTCAGAATAATCCCATTAATTTAAGCAAATTTGCAGAGACTTACAAGAAGTTCCGTGGAAAGATGAAGTATTCCATGAATTCTATGATTGATCCAAAAACGTCAGAAGCGTCAGGGAATTACGAATATGTATAAGAAAATTGCCGGATTATTAAACAAATTTAGGGAACTTCAGGTAACCATAGATAAATTCAGGGAAAATTAGTGAGCATTTATATTGGTTATAATACTTGAGTGAAATGGTCCCCTCCCCTTGGCTAGTTTTTGCACCTTGCTGTTGGTGGGCGGGCTTAATTTCATGCTAGTGGAGTGTTGGAGACGGTGGGTTTGTGGCCGACGTTGCTGGCTCATGCCGCGATAGAATGGCGCCATGGGCAGGCAATGAGGATTACTGAGCTTCCCCTCTCTGATAAACCACTGCATGAGAGAACAAAAGATCTAGTCCAGCAGTGATAGTATCACACTTGTTACTCCTTTTATTGAGAGCCGCGTCGTGGTACGCTTACGTATAGGCACTGACGTTGGGTGTGATACTGGCGGGTTTTGCCGCAAATCACTCTTATTTTATTTATTTTTACGCAGATAGATTTATTTGGGTTTGCAAGGGAATTATACTATTGAAATATTTCAGAAAGTGCCCAACGGTACTCCTTCTACTTGCGTGACAAGCTTTCATTGTTGTTTTCATTGAAGTATTACTCAGGGAACAATTTTAAACATCATTTTTGTACATGGTGTTGTAACTAATCTTATATGTGCTTCATTTTGATTTGGGATAAATGTTTGAACTATGGCTCGGGATTTCCACTGTTGCGTGCTTCTATTGTGATATATCCATACGTAATTTTGTGGGACGACATAGTGGAAACGTGTGAGCGTAGTTGGAGCATATACCCTATATAATTTAAAATCAGCTAGGAAACTAACTTCAAAATGAAGCATTTTAGTCACTTGAGGGTGTCACCTGGGTCGAACTAAGATATAATAAATAGGTATAGG